AGCTTATGTGTCGTTTATTTTTATTACTTATTGTTTTTATAATGTCACGATGCATAGACTCGGTTTAAATTTCCTTCATGTAAATGAGGCTGCTTTTATTAAATTTAAAATTTTTATTTTTTTAAAATAATTTTAATTTAAAATTTTTATCGAGAGTTGAAAAAAAATATTTCGCGGTATTAAAAGCAATAATAATAATAAATAATATTTTTTTTTCCGCAATTACTTCAGAAATATTAAAATTTACTGAAATAATTGAAAACAAAATTTTTTTCAATGTGTTAAAAAAAATTGTAAGACAAAAATTATTTTTAAGAAAAAAAAATTTTGAATGTTACAATTTTTTTTTTTGGAAAAAAATTCTACTATAAATCATTAGAAAGACGATTTAAATTTATGAACAAAAAAATCTCATTAAAATAGCAAAAAAATGAATGACATATAGTTTAAATAAATGGTTAAATCTAAAATAAAAAAATTAATAAACCAAGAGAGTTTCTTTGAGTATCTGATTTAGCCTGGGGCAAGTTTTTTTTACAATAATTGAATACTCTTGGCATAAAGTTTAACCCAGGAATTCAATTTCAGTTATAATCAAAAGTTATATTAAATATATATTAAAGTACAAATAACGTTTTTTTAGATTTAAATTATCCATTGTATCGATTATTTAGTAAGATTAAATTTAAAAAGACAAGAAATAAGTAGGACAAGCTAGTGGCTCGAGAAACTGGGTGAAAAGTTTCCGTAAAAAGTATCGGTTATTTTAAAAAACAGAATAATAGAAGATTAACAGAGAATTCAATAAAGAAAGGATAATTAGAAACGTGATTAATTGTAGACGGAAACTTTTTAATTTGCTCAGGTTAACTTTTATTTCTTTAATTAAATTCTCAGTGAGAGTATACACTATCTAAATATATTCTTAAATAAACTAAAAAAAATATTGACCAGCAAAAGACCGATCGATTTCAGGTCACCCGAAGAAATAAACTTTTATTTTTATTAAAAGCAATTAAATTGTCAGCGGCAACCGGATGCATGTGTAGATTAAATGTTTGGTGTATTTGTTTCTCCTTCCCCCCTACTAAGCCCTGTTAGACGTTACTTGTAACGTGTAATGCAGCCAAGTGCACCAGTATTATGCAGAGACAAACCTTTCGTGCTAGACCGGCTTTTCGATTCCAAGAAGCGTGAGCTAACATTAATTATCACGACACCATGCTCGTAAAACTTACTTTTACATAACACCTTCCTTGTATATACATGCAAAATTTGTCCTCTAACTTTTCATCGGATTTGTTCCTTCAATCCTCTACTTAATAGTTAACTGACAATCTCTTATCACTTGTTCAATATTCCTTGATATCGTTATTAATTAATAAGTTTAATATTTATTTAATAATGTGACTGCATAGATGCGGAAAGAAATTAAAAAATTAATTTTAGTTTGAAATAATATTTTTATAAATTTAATTTTAATAAATATTTATTTTTACAGTTTAATTAAAATATTATTTTTATAGAGTTGGAAAAATTATAATCCAAAAATTTAGTAATAATAAAAGAGAGAAATTTTCAATAAAAAAATCTTATTAAAAAAATTCTCAAAAATTTTTTATTAATGTTACAATTAAAAAAAAAAAGTAAAAGTTTATATAATTTTATAAAAAAAAAATTTATATTAATTTTTTTTCACTAAAAATTCAGTGAATATTATTTAGGAATTTTATGTTTGTAATTTTCAAAGTTCTGTCAATAAATTTTACCAGCTTGACCATAAAATAAATAAATTTTTATTTTGTAACTTTAACGAATCAAAAGTTGCGCAATTACCATAATAATTTTTATTTAAAATTTCTATTCATGTACAATTTTCTGAAGCATCAAATAACTTTCGATATTTTTTAACGAGTCCTCACTTCTGAATGCTGGTATCTGAAATATTTTCATATTTTTTTCCAGTTCGATAAATTATACTCTGCACATCATAGAATATGTCACTAATACGTGTAAAATTTTTTTTCAAATTTAATGAGTTCACGTCGACTCAAGCTTCAATATTCAACATTATTTATTATTTAAAACTTTTAAAAAGTTTCGCTCCTTAAAAATTATTATAAAACTTGTTTCTAGCGACGTCATTAATCATACCATGAAAAGAATTGATGTAGCATTAACAAGTACCCGAGAAAACTGTAATTTTTTTCGACTGAAAAGGGTAAAAAAAAGTTTTTCAATAAATTACCGGCCGATTGAAACTCCAAACCTGAAACGTATTACACAAAATTTCCAATTACAATGTAATGAGAGAAACGGATTGTCAAGTTCTGCTTAACAATTTGCAATTTACATTTCGATTTCCATTTCACTTCGCTCACTCATTACATTACCGAGACTTTTTCGTCATTCTCCTTCGAGAAAGCAATTGTTCGCCCGATAATTCTATAAGTTAAAAGTGTGACAAAAGGAGCTGTCATACCCACGAAAACGCTTCTCAGAAACATCCAGTCCAGTGAAATTTTTTGTTGGCTCAACACTTGACACATAAATTCGCCGCTGCACTTTTTAAATTCTTTAATTGTTTAAATTTATTATTTTCACGATGGTGCTTTTAATCAAGAAAATGATGTAAAAAAAAAACCAATACAATTTGAAATAATTTTCATGTATATTTCAGCGTAACAATTCCAAACGATTGAACAGGAAATAAATATATCCTTGCTTGAGAAAGTAAAATGAAATAAGACAATGTATTTGTCTAGTGGACTGTAACTGCTTATAATGTACCGGTCCTCTTACTTTGTCTTTTTCTCCCAAGTCCTGAGAAAGTAAAGTGAAGGAAAACTCGGAAAAAAGCTTACCTCTACTCGCCAGTGACATAACTCTCGAGAAACCTCACCGACTTAACTATATTTATTTTATTTATTTTTTAACAGTATCAACCAGCGAGTTTTCTGGTTCTGACATCCCAGTAGTTGCCACCGCTGTGTGTGGTCAACTGTGAATTACCGGAATTAATTCAACCAGTACACCATGTACATCCAACCAAACCGTCCAGTGAGTCTATGGATGGACTGTGAGAGATATACCTCCGATTACTTCAATTCAACAAAAAAATCAGGAACAGTTACTTATAAAATAAAAAATCCTTCCAACGTAATCCCACATAAATTTTTTTCATTTTAAAATCCCCTTTGTAGCATCCGCATTCGTGTATCAATTCGCTCCGATGCACCATTTATTTTAAAATTCTACATCGTAAAGCCGATTCTGAGTGAACTAAAAAATTTCATCAAACTCAGCGGTTCTATTCTCTGTCGGCTTAATTCTCCAGCATTTTCCTCATGGCTAAAAGCGAAAAGTAACGTATGTTAATACCGGTTATTTAATAACCGGAAATTACTCGTTGAGAGCAAATAAAGGAAAGGAATTAATGATTAATTTGTGAGGAAAAGTATTAAGTTTCGGTAAGCACTTTTAGAACAATCGCGTGGTATCGGGCTCGCGGATCTAAACTCACCAAGGTTAACCCGGGAACCTTGACTCGTTTAATAATCAAATAAAATTCATCACCTATCAACTCTTTAGATGGATGATATCTCGACTTACATACTGGTTATCGATAAAAGCTACCCGTTATTAGGACTATTAACAACTAAATACATTTTATTTTTTAATTAGAAGCGTGAAATGTTAGATTTGTTTTTATTTAATTCGTGAATTTTTCAATTTTGGTTAATTTTTATCTACAAATAATTCTTATGATCGGTTAAAAAATTGATCAATATTTATTTTGTCAATTATTGACATTGTCTCTGTCAAAATAATTTATTGTAAAAATATACACAGAAAAACAGAAATATTTGATCGAAATTAGATTTATGTGTGTCAAATATATAAGATATTTGGATATGGCCAAATAAATAGTTTATTCATGGTAAAGATATGGTTTATTTGTGGTAAATAAATCATAGTTGACGACAATAATGAACTTTTAAAATTTATTGTAACATTAAAGTTAGCTGTCACAAATGAATTAATTCTAAAAAATTATTTTTTAAAAATTGCATTTTTAATTTTTTAAAATTTCTACATGTCAATTTTTTTTTCTTATTTTTTTTTACCATAATTTATTTGTTAACAAAAGTTCTAAAAATGATTAAATATCTGCTAAATTAATTTTATCAATTTTCAGAAATTGTAATGGCTTTAAAATGAAAAAAAAAAAAAAAAATTATTTTCTATTCTTTTAGTTAAATAATAAAATATTTTCCGTGTCTTCTATTGAATGAAAGTGTTAATTTCAGGTTAAGGATAATTTAGATTTGTTTATGTAAAATATAATATTTTAAACACCTTACCATATATAGTTGTCATAAAGAAACATTTAAAAAAACGACTCAAATAAATTGATTTATTTGAGAGAAATAATTCTTTTTTTCTGTGAATGTTCAAATTTTGCCTGACTTTTTTGTATATATTTTTAAATATAATTGAAATATATAAAAAATACAAGTATAAAATTAATTAAAAAATATATTTCAATTATAGTTCAAAATATATGAATTATTTATAAAAATCAACCAAAAGTTACATTTTAAATATATTAAAAATATATTTTATAAAATTACAATAAATATTTTTCATAGGAACAAAAAAGTTTTATTAATTAAATCATCATTTTTATAATAATAATAATAAAAAAAATCGAACTCGTTGGCGCAATTAGATTACATTACATTGCAAACTCGTCTAACAAATTTAATAAAATGAATAATATTTACTCTATCAGAAGCCGAGTTGTTAATAAAGCTGTAAGTTAGTTAAAGCAAATTAGTATTCGGAAATCTATAGCCAACCGGAGTAAGTTTGACGAAGTAACCGGACACCGGACAGGAATACGTAAGCCATATATCTATAGCTGAATAGAAAGAACAAGTTAGACGTCAAGTGGATATTTGATAAGAGCAAACATTAAACGCCGGAGCTGGCGTGAATTAAAAATAAGCATATGCATAAGCCAGTGTGTATGAATGTTTGAATGTCTGAATGTATATAATATATAAATATATAAATATAGAATAGATGTGAGCAGTCTGCAGACTGACCTTAACATTTCCATATTTCCACGTGAAAAGGATAACAACTGGGAGACACGCTATGACACAGCATTCCAGAATAAGCAGCGCCGTCCTCATAAGCCAATTTAAGGATACCACACACGGAGACCCGTTTTCGCAGTACTCGCAGCCCTCTGCACACGGAAGACACTCGAAAACTCCGTCCATCGAGTACTGGCTGTGCTCGCCCTGTGGAAACAATTTAAATAATTAATTATTTCCCGACTAGAATAACATTTGTTCTCAGGCCTTGTGTCTCCTTACCACTACTACTATTCTGGTCTCTATTTTGTTATATATACCAGCAACAGAAGCAGAGAAGAGGTTACTCTAGGGTAGAAGTACCGTTTATTGCCATTTATTGTTTAAATAAACGATAGAATTGAATTTATATTACACGGTAAAAAGTAAACTGTAATAAATAACAGTCGATTTATAATAAGTAATGATCAATTGCTAAAAATTACCATTTCAAACAGTAAAATCGTGATTTTACTATTCACTTTACAATATTTACCATTTAAACGTTACAATTTACTCTTTACATGGAAGAAAATACTATTTTAAACAGTAATATTCGTTATGTAAATGTCTAAAATGTTAAAGTATAATAATTAAGAATTCAGACTTTGATATTTATCATTTCGTACCTAAAAATGATGTTATGATATGTAAAAAGTATAAAATAAAGTTAGTAAATTTCTAATACAAGCAACGTCAATATTTACAAAGTAAAATGGTAAATTTTAAACGCAACGCTAAAAATCAAACTGTAATTATTGACTTGCTTGGACTGGTAAAATCTATATTTCAAAAGTATAATTTTTACTGTTTCAAATGTTAAATTCTCCAAGAGTGAGACCCCCTTCTCTTTCATCTGAGTTCCCCTTCTCCTCATAATATAGACTATATATTGAAATGGCAATTTTTACTGTTTGAAACTGTAATTTTTTAAGATGAGAGAGTCGTTATTTACTATAGTAACAGCTACTAATCACTTATTTTGGATATTAAATTATAAATTGTGGCTTTTATACTTTCTACATTAAGTTCTGTAATATTTATATTTTTGCCACCCCGATGTCCGCTTTACTATTTGAAACTATAAAAATTAACCGGAATCCGAGTAAATATTACAGTTTACTTTTTTCCGCGTACTAAATTATTACAAACTCAATTTGTTTTAATATAAATTTTTTAAAACTCAACAAAAATATGGTTATAATATTATAATTTTTTATAAATTAATTCAAATGTTAACTGGCCAAAAATGGTACTTCTACTCTATAGCTTGTTGATTTTATTAAAAAAAATTTTGATCAAAACTTTAATTTTTTTTTTCATCAATCTCATTATAATCATGATTATGATTACTATTGTCTAATAGTTATTATTAAAAATCTAAAAGGAGCTTAAGCTTCAGGATCAAATAAGATTATTTATCAGAACTAATTGCGGGATTAATATGTTTTATTTTATTAACCTAAGTGAAAATGAATCCGAGATTTGCTGTTTCTGTCTGCGGTAAATATTTCGGGCGAACTTTAACTCGTGAAACCACCGCTTAAGATTCATAAATTATAACTCATTTGACCTGTGTCCCTCCAGCACTATATCCGGCGGTCGGATACTCACGTATATTCATTAAACATCCTATCACGAAAGCTTCTCTGGTTCATGCGACTGTTGTTTAGTTGAATTCTACCACAACGGCACAACGCCGGACAACAGTGTAATTATTTTGCCTCACGTACTCTGTTATCGGCTATATTTACATTTTTTAACGCTAAATATGTATGATAATAGAGCTTACAACTTTCCATTATTAATGAGAATGAGTATAACTATTATTCCATGATATTATCCGTTCATATTTAGTTGTTCCGCTTTTTTATTCCTCATAATATGTTTATAAGGGATATTTAACATTTGTAATTATTTATATAATAGGTTTAAATTAAAATTCGAGGTTAAATATCAAACAAATGGTATTATAAACTACTAGTTGACCCGCCTGAATATTTTACACGGTAAATTTTATACTAGAGAAATAAAACTGATATTTATTACTGCTATTGAAAATAAAAAATTGTTTTTAATAAATATTTACATCTAATTATTTTCTCCTAAAAATATCATATTAATTTTTTTTTTAATATTAAATATATAATTAAAATTTTTATTATTATTTATTCCAACAGTTCAGTAGCAAAGCTTGAAAAAGTAGTGATATGCACATCCCGAGGTAATACCGAAATATTTTTCGCAAGTGTTTGACGTGTCGAGATGAAAAAATTTTCGTTTATAATTCTGTCTTGTTTTGTGTCGATATTATATTTCGCTCGAGGACATCCTGCTCTTTTTTTTTTTAAATACAAATACGAAAAAATAATTTCGACCAATATTTCCATCTGCTGATATAAATTATCAATTTTCAATTAAATTCTTTATTAATTGAAGCATGTGTGTAATTATTATGATCTATTGACCGGTATAAATAATTATGAAATAAGTCATTTTCATTTGATCTTCGAAACAAATAGATTCAAATTAATAAATATTCAATTAGTGCAATACTAAATTATCGCCGCAGGATTTTTAGAATATAAATTAATAATATTCTGTCAATGATTAAATATTTCATTTAATTAAACAGTTATTTTAGCAATTCACATACAATTATTGATACAATTAAACCCACATGAGATATTCCATTTTTTTTTTTGACGATTAATTTCTATTGATGAAAATTTTAAGTGGAAATTGCAAACAGTTATTTAATTTTTTTTACTTTATTTATAAAGTCAATTGAATAGATATTTTGCAATTAAAGGTACACATTGCAAAATGTATGATTAAATAATGACTAATTAGCAGTAAAATACTGATCAATTCACACGAATTTTGACACCTTCAAATAATAGCAATTCAATATCAATAAGTATGTACATTTAATTGCCGAATATTTCACATTGACAAAATGTTCAAAGAAATTTTGAATCAATATTTAATTTAAATTGAGGGGTTTATATTGTATTATTTCTCCATTTGATCGTTCTACAAAAAATTGTCAATTAGTTTTTATTCATAAAAATTAATTAACCTTTTGATCAATTAAATTTAACCACATAAATATTGTCGACACTCGGAAAACTTTCATTATTCGGTAACTTTTAGAATATCAGAGAACTAATGTAATATAGAGAAAGTAATAGTAAGTGACGTTAATAATAAATAATATATATAAAAATCTGGAAAAGTTTGATGTGACTAATCCACGAGAGGTTTCTCGAGTAAATGAAATCACAAAAGTTTCCTTCGTTTCTTCTCAGATATGTTCCAATGAAGTGGAAAGTTCGGAGTGTAACACACTTGAGGTTGGGAGCCCAAATAGACTAAGGGATTAGCTTTTATTGCTCGGGGAATTTGATAATTACTGAGTAGCCACTACACTCTCTGTCTTTATCTCAACGTACATGCAGTCTACACCTACGACCACGTTTCTCCATTCTAGACTCTGGATTCTCTATTATACTGCTATGCGACTCTCTGCCTGAGAATAATGCCGATCCCGAGGTGTTATCTCCAAATTACACCGATAGAATCGCTGGTATAAACAAGTGATTGATTTTATCCGGCAAGAATTTAAGATCTAGGCTTGAAAGCTCGCCTTGTGATTGAAGACAAATTGAATTTTATTGCTGAGATTTTGAATTTATATTTGCAAAGATTAATCGAGAAAATTCCCGTAAGCTAAAACTTTGAAGTTTTTATTGAGAAATTTTTTTTTTAAAATCGCTGCTTATAATTGACAAACCGTTGAATGTCTCAGCACAAAAAAAATTTTAATTCTAGTAAAGATTGTCTGACAATGATAAAATAAATGTCAGAAAAAAAAAATAAAAAAAAAAAAGGAAAACCTGGAAGGCATTACGTGAAGAATATCATGTCCGCTTCATCTGTGATGTTATTATGATTTTTTTTATTGTCTGTGTATGTAAAGAATAAAAAGCAAAGGAGATTTAAATTCCCGTGGGGTTTTTGAAATGTGGAAAATGACTTGAGGCAACTTGGCAGATTTATATTACTCGACTCAGCAGTCTTACCTACTAAGAATGAACCTTCTGACGTCTGACAGCACCTTTATATGTACTACTCTTTATCTTTATCTTTATCTTATCATTTTAATTTTGATTATTATTAATATTATTATTATTATTATTATTATTATTATTTTTTCTAAAGACTGGTTTTTATAATACTTTATATTTCTTTTTAATTTATTGGCTGTCCAGTCTAATACAACAAATTTATTTCTTATTTTTTCTTAATATCGTTAGCCTGTATTTTCCTCCAGGCATAAACAAATTATCCTCAATTTATATCTAAATTTGTCATTAAAGATAAATTTGACTGAAAAATAATTCGGACGGCCCAGACCAGGACTCGAACCTGGATCTTTTGGTTACGCGCCAAAGGCTCTACCTGTTAAGCTATCCGACACTGTCCACATTTACTATTCAGTCACCTATTAATGTCAATCCTGAATTGTAGTTCTAATATAGTATGATGTTAATTTTTGATCTATACATTTTTCCTTTTGACCTCCTGTCAATACATTTTTAAAGCCCATGGTATACTTTTAATATTTTTTATTTTTTCTAAAAACTAGTTTTTATAATATTTTATATTTCTTTTTAATTTATTGGCTGTCCAGTCTAATACAACAAATTTTTTTCTTATTTTTTTTTTTCTATTTCAAATAATAATAATTGTGGACAGTGTCTCGGATAGCTTAACAGGTAGAGTCTTTGGCGCGTAACCAAAAGATCCAGGTTCGAGTCCTGGTCTGGGCCGTCCGAATTATTTTTCAGTCAAATTTATCTTTAATGACAAATTTAGATATGAATTAAGGATAATTTGTTTATGCCTGAAGGGAAATACAGGCTAACGATATTAAGAAAAAATAATAGAAAAATTTGTTGTATTAGACTGGACAGCCAATAAATTAAAAAGATATATAAATTATTATTATTATTATTATTTTTTTTTTAATGAAAATTAAATTGATTTTATTATATTTATTGGTAAAGTCAAACAGTAATATTATTTAACATAAACATTATGATTATAGTAGATCGATACTCGATTATGGGTTAAAGTTTTGACAAATAAAAACGTAAATTATTATTTGAATTCTTGGCGTGAAGCATTTTTGACCTAACTTTATTTTTGTTGAACAAGTCGGAAACAGAAGACGTGGATGGAGCAAAAATAAGAATAAAGTGAAGTTTGGCAAGCGAAGAGCGGAAAGTGAGTGAGAATCGAGAACATTGCATGCCGCGATTTAAATTTTATACACATATACGTATAATATGTGCTTGTAAACTTTCTGTCATCGTGGATATGTTCGTGAACGAGCAGTCTACTATTGTGAGTAACAACCAACGCAAAAAAATGATAATAATAATGAATTAATTATTTGAGATTAATATTAACCGATTTTAAATTATGTTAATTAAATTCATTAGTAACACTCTATTTTATATATTTTAATAATCGGTAGTAAATAAATTTAAATTAAATTAATAATAATAAATAAAATTTTTTTAACATAATTTAATCAGAAAAAAAAATTTATATAATAATTGTATTAAATTTTACATGATTTTATATAATTATTTTACTCTACGGTAACTGTTCAATTAATATCAATATCGGGGTTTAATTAAATAACATATTATTGACAGATATCTGTTGTCTATATTGTTGAAATCTGCGTTCACTAATTTAATTCTACATTAATTAAATATTCATCCATTTATTTTTATTCAATTAATACAAGCCTATTGTATAACTAAAATTATTCATATTCATATCAATGAATTAAAATAATTACAGGAATACTTCGGTAAAATATTTTCCGGAGTAGAATTAAAAGTTACAAATATTAATTGGAAAAATTTCTCTGTAAATTCTTCAGTGAAAATAAAATAAAATAGTTGAGTAAAAATTATATCGATTAAATTTTACATTAAAAGTTAACTTTTACGTGCACTGGCTCATAAGTTTATCGACCTTAAGCAAACTTATAATTTATTCCCAACATTTAAATTGGACTTTTGCAATTCAGGTTATTATATAACCGCTAAATATAATCTTGAATTAGTAACAATGAAAATTGAGAAGAATTCTTATATTATGATTTAAAAAAACGGAGTTTAAACTCAAGAGAAACTTAAAATTAAGCATGCAATTTAAATGAAAGTTCGGGAGGGAATAAAATAATTTAATTATATTTGGATCGAATAAGAAAAAATACTCTTTAATTTACTCTAGCATTAATTATATAGTTTAAATAAATTAACGACACAATTAAAAGTTGGCGGTTGGATTGGCGATCGAGTGAATAACTCAACTTGTTTGTTATTATCCATTCCAATGTCGTATGAGTTTTCAACAATTAAATGGAGCTTAAATGCCAGTGGAGATGATAAGTTATTTTTAGTCGGGGGAGTACAAAATAAAAATACCAGCAGGGTGTATATGTGCGCTGTTTAAGCTTAAGCTCCTTATTATATTTGAGAGTTGGAAAAGTGTACTTACCAGCATGAGCTTTTCAAATTCCTCTTCCACAACCGTACCGTTATAATAACGTTCTGTAGACTTAATATCTGGATAATAAAAGCCACGTTTGCAAATGCAGCGATAACTTCCACGGCGAAATCCCAGTCCTGGTATTGCGATACACTGTTTTTTCATTAATTTATTATTTTTTTTTTTTTTTTAAGTCATAGTAGTAATTTAAAATAGATTAATAAAGGTAATTGCAGGGGATATTTTTAATGAGAAAATAATATATTAAATTATTGAATTTAATTTTGTAATGAAAATATTTGAAGTTGAAAAATTTAATTAAATATTAGCAACAATATTTTGTATAATAAATTGAATTTTAAAATTAATGGAAATATTTTTAATTAAAAAATTCAATTGAATAATTAATATAATTATTATCCTTCGAAAAATTAAATTTAATAATTAATAAAAATATTTTTTATTAAAAAATAAAATTTAATAATTAATAAAAATATTTTTTATTAAAAAATAAAATTTATGATTAATAAAAATATTAATTTATTATTTAAAACTATATTTAATTAATTATTAAGACTTAAAATTAATTAATGAAGCAATTTTCGGTCTACAAAAAATTAATAATTAATAATAGTAACGTAAAAAATTCACGAAACAAAAAATGTATGAACATTGTTAATCAAGAACCAAATTTATGCAGTCTCAAGCATAACTATTTTTATTTTAATAATTTAAAACTTTCCATGAACAAAAAGAATAAAAAATGAAGTAAAAAGTTTGAATGAATTTTCCTTCCTGAGAAAAAATGGCAACTTACTTCAGTCGTACGTTTCTTGCATTTATCACTAGCTGCAAAAATGTTAAGTTGAAGAGACCCAGGCGGCAGCGGACACTGATCGATGTCTACTCTCCGAAGGTCAATATCGATTCCGCTGGTGCCTCTGGCATAAAACAAACACAAAAAATAAATCTTTTAAAAGTTATCTTTCCTCATTATTTCTGGAATCGAAAATCCACAATACGCAACCAGTTTTTTTTGTAAAATACCATTCGAAAACCTAATTAGTCTTTACTTCTAAAAGTTATAATTGAATAAAAAATTGACAATGCTATCACGACGATCATTATCGTGAACAATCGTATCTCCATTCATTTCATAAAAATCCGGATTGTTTTGTGGAAGCATTTGCTAACAATTTTTGTTATTTTTTTTTTTTTATGAATGAAACTTTTGTACGAATACTGTTAATATTTTTTTCAAGAGAATCGTTATTTGTCGATTCCGTTATTTTTATATTGAAACGTAATATTTCAATACCAATAGTGTAAGTTAATTAAAAGGGGAAGATATTCAGGTAAAAACGAATTTCATATTCAATATAAGAATTTTAACAAGCAGTAAATTGAATTTTTTCCATTATAAAATATTTTATTTTTATCATCTTGTATTGATACATTATTTATTCAAAAATAATGACACTCAAATTCAATAGAATTATATTTATTATCACTAAAATAAAATGTTTTTTTAATTTTTTATCTCAATGTTCAATTTTTGAAAGGATCAAGCGACAGAATTCTTCGAGCATAGTTTTGAATCAGGTCAAAAATCCAAAAGAAGCTTGCAAATGGAAAGCATTTAGAGAACTATCAACCTGGTCGAGAGATTTCGGGAAATGTTTGAATCACTCGAGGAAATCCGGCAACTTCTCGGAATCTCAATTAAGACCGTGGAGAACTGGCCGAGAATTTGAAAGAATTCTCGTTGAATAATTTAAATGTTTCGCCGTATCCTTGTTATTATTATTGTCTTGGTGAATGATTACGCTTCCATACAATTTTAATTGCCGCCTCAATGGCCTCTAAAAATATTTTATAACACTTTAAATTTTCATTCTTTATACAAAATAAAATTCTTAAATGAAACTCATAAAAAATTTATTGTTTACTCTACAAAAATTTTGTATCTTCCAGTTCTCCAATATTTACTCGTTAGAACAATTATTTCGAACCTGAGCAACGATTTATCAGGGCAATTACCATTAATCTCTGAGACACCGGAACTGATTGCCCACCCAAACTTTTCTTCCCATCGGCGGGTCTATTATACCGAGAAGCACTGTGGACCAGGGTCGTTTTTCACCCATCTTTTATGCACAGCTCGAAATATTAATGAGGACAGCAGACTGCATTATTATCTACAACATTTATTTGTCTTCCATTAAATTTTAAGTATCCCAACATTGTAGGTAATTTACTGGCTTATTAAATAGATAATTTTGTCGGTTAAAAATCTCCGTCGATAAAATGTTTTTAAAAAGTTGTACGTTTAAAGTTTTACGAGGCCGGAAAAAAGTAATCTTTGATGCTACTTGATGAAAACAATAACGAGGGAAAAGCTTGAACATTAATTACCTTGTAAATCTTCAAAAAGAATACAGTAACTTTATAATATTTATATTAAACAACTTTTATAATATTTAATCATGCAAAATTTATGGCATACCCCACACTGGTAACTTTTTTTCAAAGGACCGACATTATGAGAAATATTTTTATTTTAGAGTATTAATTGCTCTTCTTTTTTATGTAATAAAATATTAAAACTTGGAAATTATACAGGTGTTTCATAATTTTTTGAAATTATTAGTAAAGTTTTACACGGAGAGAAAAATATGGAAATCATTCCTATAATTTTAATGAAATATTATTATCATTATGAAATTAATCAGTTGCAGCAGTTGATATTTTTTTAATCTTGAATGGTATACATGCTTGTAAATTAAAATAAAATTAATTAAAAAAAAAGTTAATTAAAAAAAAATTTCTACTAGAAAAAAAAAATTTCTTAAATAAAATAAAATTTCCAATTGTTTTGAAATTCCAAATTTTCAAATGTTTTTGCGGCTCAACGTATGTATTGTAAATAAATAATTTGCTTTAAAAATAAAATGAAATTATGAAAATAAACAATGAATTTCCTTATCTATTTTGCTCCTACAATTGTATAGTAAGAAAATAACCTTTTTATAAGAGAAACTTTAAAATTGCTACAATATTTTTCAATATTATTAACCACAATAATAACTGAGCTGGAATAAATAATTAAAGATTAAGTACACACGTGAATAAAAATGATGAAAAAAAAATTTTTTCACTCTAGTGAAAGATCAATTTTTATTTAAAAAAAAAAAAGTATTAGCAAAAAAATACATAATAATTACTTAATATTTTTGAAGTGATTGCTTCATTATTAAGAAAATAAACTTTTATCTATTATTATGTGCATCATTCCCATAATATTATAGGTTCCCATAATGAGTATAGGATTAATGCCTATAATGATAATTTTATTATAGGATCCATTCCCATAATTGTTGGAAAGATTCCTATAAATTTCTCTCCGTGTAGTATAATTCAAAAACGATACTAATGGAACATCAAACGGATTTTAAATTAGCATTGAAATATTTTCTGAAAGTTTGTAAGCAGCTTTAGATTTGAAACTAATTACTCTTCATCGAAACTATAGTGTGGAATAAAACTTTCGACAAAATAAACGCTCCGGTGCGTTAACATTTCGATAGAATGAAACTCATAATGCTCTAATGGTCAAAACATTCGCTAAATCCACGGGTATTAAAATCTAAACACTGGCTCTGTTATTGCGAATAAATCAAAAGCCTTTAGCTAGAAAAATAATTTACTAGGTGATAAAAAAAAAGTCTCACAAATAACCCTTACGCCGAAGATGTGAACATCTGGCAAGATAAAAATTTTTCACTTTCGGACTTGTCGCAATAACTTTTCTTTTTCTGATTATCCTTATATTTACAACCCGAAAAATTGAAAACCTTTTTTTATTAGCTCCGTCCGAGGGGACCATGCTTTTTCCTCGCTTTTTTATCAATCAATTTATCTCGTTGCTAACTTTGACAAGTTATCAATTAAATCGCAATCACTAAGACGACAAATTCATCGTGTTGGATATTAATTAAAATAAACAGTTCGAAATTAATTAAACTGAAAATTAATTAAACTTCCTAAGGACTTTAATGCCAGTACTTGGACATAAAAATCACCTTCGCTTCAACTTAAAACTAGAATTTTTATTGAGCCTGAGAAAAGTCGATAACTTATTTTTACCTTCGTATAAATATAAACCTTTAAAATGTTGAAAAAAGTTTTAATATTCTTATAAATTTATTTCCAGCTTCTCTTTTATACTCGGTTCAAATATTAATATAAGAATTTTAGCATTTCACTCGCCGGTTGTAGGGAAGAAATGAAATAAATTATTCATTGATATTAAAAATTCGAAAATAATATATCCTGCTCCTTTGATTTAAAATGTTTAACTAATTCCGGTTATCTGGATTATTTTTTAAATTTCTTATCACACTGAGAAGGATTTTTTAATATTTAATAAGTCTTATCAACTGTTAATAAATATTTATTTAGAATGTTGAATAAAAAGTGAGTGTAAAAATTGAACTTTGACATTTTTTATAACTTTTTGACACGAGAAAGTTTTAAATATATAGAAGATAAAATAAATTATATAACAATCATTCTCAGAAGTTATAAATATTTTTTTTTATTTTTTAGTGATAATAATTCAAGTATTGTCTCTTTATTGTAAAAAATTTTTGCTCAATTTATTTATTAATAATCTTCTCAAAAAAATAAAAATTTATTACAATCAATAATAAATTAATTATATTCAATAAATAAATTAATTTTACTAATCATAAATTAAAAAATAAATTTTGCTACTAATAAATTGATAAATTAGGGGAGGGGAGGGGCAAAATGGGGTAGGGGTGGCAAAATGGGGTACCCCCAAAATTTCGTAAAAAAATTTACTTTAACCCAAAAAGATTTTTTAGCTTTCTAAAATATATTTTAACGTCATTTCCTACAATTTCAGAGGAAAAAAAATTTTTTTGCGAAAAGAATGGAACAACGAAGGTTTTACGGACGTTATTTATACCGCCCTAGAACTCGTTATCTTCACAAGTGATAGTTTACGATATTTGCATTTCGATTGTTGAGACACAAAATAGTCGCTGTGTACAAGGAAATGGCTTACATACACACATAATTGACCGTGTATACAATGATTTGAATTTTTTTAAACGTCAAGTAGAGTTGAAATCGATATTAGCTATTTATTCCACGTGATATGTTTCTAAAACTTTGCAATAAAAATCTGGGTCGAATGTCATCACGGTGAGAAATTTCCATTATTTTTTATTCTGCATGGATTTTAGATTTTACAATGGTGCATATTCCCGAGTCGAAATTTAAGTCGTAGATTCAACTTATTGAACGTTGAAAACGTAAGTTCAACGTATTGGACGTTGAAATCGTAATTTGAACGTATTGAACGTAAAAAATATAGATTCAACTGTTTTAAGAAGAATATATGATCCGTAGTAAAAATTAAAAGTTACAAATGTCATATACCAAACCGTAAAAAATAACCTATAGTCTAAATTTATTTAAAAGCTTTTCCCAAAGATTTGATGATTGAGTTAATGTTTAGCTACTTGCTTATTTAATCAACTAATAAAATTACGGTTGATTGGAATTAAGGAAGTTATTAAATTAAGATTGATTTTTGAGAGCCAAATTCTCATTCAATCTCGATATTTTGAGATCTTTGAAAACTATTAGATTGATTTTTATTTGCATTTCAAAAATATTTTGAAGATTTGAGGAGCTCATTTGACCGACTTATAGTTAGATTTTCAAGCATAAAGCTTCAATATACCTAAAATTTCATTAATAATTAAAATTTTCACTTCAGTGGAATGAATTTGTAAAATATACTTGCATGCATGGTGCACCAGCAAAATTTAAAATCGATTTACGCTCACAATACGTTGAATACGTTCAACTAACGTCTTTAACGTTCAATACGTTCAAATTACGATTTCAACGTCCAATACGTTGAACTTACGTTTTCAACGTTCAATACGTCGAATGTACGATTTGAACGTTCAATACGTTGAATCTACGACTTAAATTTCGACTCGGGGTGGTTTGTTCCTCTCTTTGGGTTCTTTCGTAGACTTATCGATAAGAAAATGTTATTTTTTTAACGATATTTCATTTTCGGATGAAGAAATTTTTTTTTCACTCTT